TATCACAGCACAACATTTGCTTTTGCTTTTTTCACTTCTCTCATTTGCCGCAGGACCTTTTTGTGCGTGTTCAAAGTTACTTTAAAATTTATGCAAATGACAAACTGGGCACCAAATTATGTCATCTGCAAATTCTTGCGACTAATTACACAAAAATTAATTTGCTGGTTGCCCAGCTAAAAAAAAAAGAAAAATAAATATAGCACGAGATCCCTAATATTCCGAAATGAAAATGTTGCTGCTTAATTTATGTCATTTCGTTGACCGAACCGCATTTGCATTGAAAATATGCAAATTAGTGAATCCCCGACTCAACAGTTGCCACGCCCAGCTGCCTCGTCAGGCTGTAAAACTTTACGTCTGATTTCAAATGCAAAAACACAGCTAGAACTTTTGGTTTATAACTTTCGTCCGACAACTGCCACAAACAACAACCATGACTTGCCATGGGCTGTCTGAAAATGCTCTCGATCTCATAACATATATAGTGGAGCGTTACCTAAGCATGAGCGATGATGAGCTATGAACTAAATTAAGTTTTGTTTGATTTGGCCAGTCAAGCGCTACAAGCTTTCGATATATGAACAGTAGCCAAGAGCCAGAACCATCTTTCCAATCAAACAGGGCATTTTAATTAGTCAGAGAAGATCATTAAAAAGTTATTAAAATACGCTACAAGAGATGGGTATACTGAAAGCGAGCAGGTAAATTCAACAACGCGGATTGACTGAACTTTTTTTGTTTGAAGAGGTTTTCTTTCTGATGGCTATCATTGTGTATAAAGATATGTAGGAAAGTTGTAATTTAATGAGATTTAAAGTCTAAGGAGAAAAATAGTTAAGATTCTTTAGGAGAGAAACTTGGGATAGTATATATGTATATACATGTCTGCCTGGTGAGAGTATACACTTTTCGAACAATTTTGGATAGATATTACTTAACATTTCATACTCGACAACTACTAATACTGCTGATTCGACTTCATTGGGCGCAATAGCGTTTTGCAAAGTGTCGGAAAATGTTGTTTGCCTTTGTGCTGCTCTTATTGGCGGCAGAGATTCACTCGGCCATTGAATCGCGGTTCACAAATATTGAGTGCCAGATGCTAGATCCATCCTATGCCGTCTATGAGCAATGTGAACTGAAAATCCTTGGTCGTGGTATCGTTGGATTGAATGTAAAAGCGAGACTGAAGAAGGGCCCCTTCAATAATGCCAAGGTACGTTGCTTGAGCTAATGGAAACCAGCTGACTTTTCAAATTCAAAGATCAATATGAGCCTTTGGCGGAAATTTAATGGCTACCATCCCTTTCTTGTGAATTCCACCTTTGATTTCTGCAAGTATATGGACAAGTCATCCAGGAAAATGTCATATGAGAAAGTGCTTATGGATTACTTAAATAAAAACTCGAATTTGAATCATTCTTGCCCTTACGAAGTAAGTTCATATTTTGAAAAGATATTTCTTTTGATTAATATGTGTCTTTTCCAGGATAGTATAATTATAAAAAACCTGGTCTTCGACGCCAACTATTTCAAGTTTCTCCCATGGCCAGCAGGCAACTATAAGTTCCAGCTTATGGCAGCTACCGATAACGACTGGAAAACAGTCGTCAACGTACACTTAATCAATACCGAAATCAATAACTGAACTAAGTACATTGAATAAATAACTTGTGAATTGTTAAAGCAACAAAAAAGGCAAATGGAATTCCATCAATTTAATAGTATTGTGTAGACTTTTTAGGATACTCATATATGTTTATAGAGTGAGTAATTTAAATCGTATGACCACATTTAGCTTGTAGTTAATTATATCGTTTGAACGAATCAGAATTCGTAATGAAACAATCGATTTACTAGTAAATATTATGAAATGTTCGATTCTAAACCCATTAGTCAAAAATGAGACATTGGGGTTATTAAAGTACTTCGTATGGCTTTAAAAAATATTATAAAAAAAAAAAAAAAAAAAAAAAAAATGAATGGAAATGAGCGATTGTCAGACATTATAGAACATTGATAATATCTATTACTGTACTACCTTGGTTAGGTTTATAATGATTTAGTCATGAGAAAATACACTACAGCTAAACCGAAAATTTAACTTAAATGCCAGAGACCACTATTTGATATGATGCTTTGGCCTTCACGAAATAAATTCCAATTAGAGCTACATCACTGATTTGTAAGCTTCGTGGAGCGCACATAATGTAGTTCATTTTACATTTCTGCATCGAGTTTAATTAGTGCAAGAGAGGCCACAAACGTTGCCCGAATGCATAGTTGATTACGCTCGATTCAATTTGGGGCCTGACAGCCGCAAATTAGCATTTTGACCTGGTCCCGTGCCAAATGTGTTTGAGAGCTCGTTTTTGCTGCCATTAAGTGCGGTCAGTGCTAATGTCTATGCCGAATTGCGAGTCTGAAATCCTCCCTCAAATGTAATATTATCCGAAAGTCAGTCCAGAGCAAGAATATATTCTCTCATATCTGAATGAACGATAAAATGAAAGCTTTGTGCTGAAATGATCATAGATTAAGTTATTAGGGTGGAGCAATTAACTATTAAAGTCATTGGCGTGAAGATGGTTGTAATTAAGATAAATTGTGAAACAATCTAATAAAGCTACTAGATCTAAATGGTAATTTATGCATGAGTTATTAGGGTATATTTTCGAAATGTTCAAGAATTAATGAAAGCGGTTAGAAATTATATTGGAATTATATTGAAATTATATAATATCTATAACAATAAATTTGCTTTATTTGTTAAATTTTATGGCAACGTTGCATACAAATTTCTCATATTCAAAAAGACCGAAATATATATTTCTCGTAGAATATTAGGTGAAAATTCATTACAAATTAAATTATGCTTATTATATTCCACTTGAAATAAAAATTTAGATTCTGCATGGATTTTCTAATTTTAATTGCGCAAAAAAGTAGGCAACGAAATCTTACAACACTTTATCAGACTCAGATCTGACAGCGGGAGAAAAACGGAGTTCAGCCTGTCATTTTATCAAGTATTGACATGCACAAGCGGAACAATCTTTCCAATCAAATGGTTAATAAAAACAAATTATGTGATTTTGATATATTGTAAAAAATTAATCCACCTTTTTAGGGTATACTAAGATAAAAGTTACTGCCTCCCCTTCAAAAATGTTTATATTCTTATCTCATTATCATCATGATGTTATATGAGTGAAGTCTTTTTACATTGTAAAGAAACTAAACTATTTCTGACTCTGTTGTCTTTTGATTTTGAGCATATGTTTATAGTATTAAAAGTGTTAGATTTATAGGGTATTCTCAAGTTTAATAATCACGTTCAATTTGTACAAATATGTCAATTTAGACAAATATGTGTATATCAAAATTGAGTGTTCCATTCCAGTTAAAGATTCGCTTCCGACTGGATGGGACAATGTGGCTCCAATTTGTAATTCTCTTATTGGTGATAAATGTTTTTTCGTTGGAAGTGACCCGCTTCACGAACGTCGAGTGCGAGATGTTGGATCCATCATTTGCTACCTTCGAGCAGTGTGAACTTAAAGTACTTGGTCGTGGGATCATTGGCTTGAACATATATGCTAAACTGAACAAAGGACCCTTTAACAATGCCAAGGTAGCTAATGCCAATGAGATAGTCTTGGGTCTAGCTAATTGAAACTTTCTTTTAGATTAATATCAGTCTTTGGCGAAAGTTTAATGGTTATCGTCCGTTTATTTTTAATAAGACATTGGATTTTTGTAACTTTATGAAAAAAACAAATGAAAAATTGTCATATGAAAAAATATTTCTGGACATAATTGTTACTAGCTGAAACTTAAATCACTCCTGTCCATTTGAGGTGAGTCAAAATGTGTGAGAAAAATGATTTTGATTGATAGATTTTATTCATTTATTCATTTATTTTTTTTTTTTTTTTACAGAATGCTATAATTGTAAAAGACTTGATAATTCAGGCAGATTTCTTTAAGTTTATGCCATTGCCTACTGGCCAGTATAAATTTCAGTTAAAAGCAGCAACTGACAAGCAGTGGAAGACAATTGTCAAAACATTCTTTACATTTTCAGAGGAACAATTAAAGATTTGAAAAAATGTATATGAAATATATATAATAACTAAAAACGATCTGCTTCTAGTGGTTGTTTATTGTATAGAGCTTTTAAGCACCCAAAATCAAAACTTTAGCTGGAAATACTTTATGGATATAAAGCTCTTCAATTTGAGTGCGCACAAGAGTAGGCAATAAAATTAAAACGCCATTAATTCCAGCTACGTAAATAAATGTTAATATTTAATTTTGTTATTTATTTGCTACATGGATTTATTATATAACTATACAAATTATTGCAAAACTGTTTCATGAAAATGTATTTAAGCAGAATGAGTATATGTGACTGATATTTGTATATATATTCTGGAATCTCAGCCTATCGTAATCCCCTATCGTAATACTATCATAAGGCCATTTAGTTATTTAAGTTGTTATGTTTTATATTCATTTATATTATTTTTTTGGAATACACCTGTTCAGTTCAAGTGCAAATCAGAATTTACATAGTGTTTCAGTTTGGCTCTTGTTTTCAAAATATGTTTGGAATCTTTAAGTTGAATCATTGTTAATCTTTCATAATTTACTGCTTTTATATAAGTTTAATTGCATAAATTATGTTAGTCATTGGCATAACAATCTTGATCGTTATTCCAATGGTCCACTGATTATGGATATTCACGCAGTGAAGTGGGCATATTGGCTCGCAGGTGTGGCTGATTCGCAAGACTTGTCTTTATGTACTACATATAAATTCCGATAATTATCAGGTAACGCCCATTGGAGGCTAGGTAGGTAGTATTGGTCTATTGGCTACTGAGCTGATTTGCCCTATGATTTCTTTTTCATATTGTCATATTGCCAATCTACCTTTAGGGTATTTCGACGCACTTCTCATTCAATATCTTGTTATGAAATGAATTTTAAATTAATTTAAATTCGTTTTAACGGGGGCTCATTTGAACAGTCGTTATGGGCTTCGCAACCTGTCGCACAATGAGGCTTCCGTTCGCAATTCTGCTTTTGGTAACGAGTGCTCTAGCTGCTGATGTGTCCCGGTTCACCAATATCGAGTGTGAATCTTTAGATCCATCGCGATTGACATTCCAGCAATGCAATCTCAAAATGCTTGGTCGTGGCATCGTCGGCTTGAACATATATGCGACATTGATAAATAAACCTTGGGACAATGCGAAGGTAAGTTGTGTGTGCTTCTTATAGATATAAAGTACGTATTTAGGATATGAATAATGTTTGTTTTAAGGTTTCTATCAGTCTTTGGCGGAAATTCAACGGGTATCATCCATTCCTTGTCAATTCAACTTTTGACCTATGCAAATTAATGGCGAAGCCGACACAGAAAATGTCATTTGCAACAATATTTATGAGCTACATGTTGGAAACCTCAAACTTAAATCACTCGTGCCCATACGAAGTAAGTAATTTTCGTTGAATACCTTATGACATATTAAATTGAATCAATTTCAGAATGAAATAATTGTGCGCAACATGATATTCAAGGAGGAGTATATGAAGTTTGCCCCATTGCCACATGGCCACTATAAATTTCAGTTTATGGCTGCCACCGACAACGAATGGAAGGCTATTATCAATGCGCATATATTACATCTTTCATCGTAAATAATGTGCTATGCATATGTCTCACAATTGCATTCGAGAGCATGCCTATACAGCTTGGATATATCAAAAGCTAATTCTTGTGAGCGATCAATATTATAAATTCAAATATGTGCAAGATTTAAAAATATATATTTTATGCAATTAAAATTTAATTCATATTTAATTAGTATTCAAATGTTGAAGATTTAGCTAATGTGAATTTAATATTTGTGTAATGTGTGAGCAAATTTCACAATCTGAAACTGAAACCAGACGAAAATCGATAAATTTATGGAAAATATTGCCTTTATAGACTCTTGCCATCGCTTAGGGCCTTGGGCCGTGTTTAATTTGATTTGCTAGCAATAAAGCTTTTCTGTGTGTGCGTCGACAATGGCTGCACTCTACTGCAGGGCATATCAAATTGAATTTCCCTTTGGGCCTGGAGCACGGCAGAATGCGCTTAAAGTGCCAATTGGCCCATCGATTTGCCATCAACAGCTATGGGATCCGGTCTGCTGTTCATCTCTTCTTCCCCTCTCTCTCTCTCTCTTTCTCTCGCTATCTGTCTCTCTCCATCTCTCTCTAAGGCTGATGCCATAAAACACGCGTTAAATTGCAATAACCAGCAAATCCAACCAACTTTTCCTGTCCATCCGCATCAACATTTTCAAAGATAAAGCGATACGTCAATTATCTGGATGCGAAGCTGAATGCCTGGCTCTCTGGCTGTCTGGCTGTCTGGCTGTCTGGCTGCCTGGCACCGAGAACAAAAGTGGGGGAAAAATAAGGGAAAACAAAAACTAAAGCAATAAAACGTTTCGACAACATTGAAACCTTGTCAACGACAGCCGTAAAGGTATCAGTTGACACTTTCCACCAATCCCCATTTGAAAAATGTTTGATTTATGTCAACTTTATCGACTGTGAAGTGGACACCCTATGCCAGCCATCTGCTCAGAGGTATTCCACTACAAAAGGTATTTTTATGAAGCTGACTAAAATGGCAATTAAATCTATGTTTATGAACTATTATTTGTATTGAATTGTTATTTATAATATTAAAAAAAAAAAATGTTTATACTTTTTCACTTTTTGAATATCTATTTATGAAAAAAAAAAATATATATATTATTTATATATATATATATTTTTTAAAATTTAATTTCATGCAGTGTAACTATTTCTTGGTCAACCGATGAATAAGTAGCTCGAATAGAAAAGTGACAAATGCCAGCAGCAAAGCAGATGCCCAGCCCAACCAGACATAAATCAAGTCGTTTACCTTAAAGTCATGAAAGGGCTCATATGGATACGGATCCTTGAGGCTGATCTCGTCCAGCGCCATAAAGTCGCGCAGCGACTGCTCTCTCCAGTACATGACGAGGCCCGTGTCCTTGACTTGAATCATGAATTGATGCAGTGGCTCGGCGTAGATGGAGTTCGCCGGCAATGGCATCGAAGCGAGTATTTTGGAGCGAAAGACGAGATCGGGTTGGTAGCACAGCACAGGTCGTTTGAATAGTTTCTGTTGTTGCTTGTAAAACTCCCAAATGGTTTCCGTCATAGAAAATGCCTTCGATTTGCTGAGGCTCTTGCGCATCCTTTCAAACTCCCTCGCCTCCAGGAAGACGATCTTTGATTTAACGATATGAAGGGGGGTCAGATTCGACATCATATTCACATAGAAATGCTCGTCCTCGGTGAAGTGAATATCGAGATGAGAGTCGCGTAGCTCCACGAAATTGGTGACCATTCGTTCCATGGGTCGCTTGGTGAGCAGCGTCTTCAAGTGGACGGCGACGAGCGTGCTCAGTATGAGGCCCAGCAGAAAGAGTTGAGCGTGAGCTAGCCGAGAGCTGTTCCTTTCGTGGGCCTTCAGCCGGCTCGACTGCCCGATTAGGCCAGAGATGATGCGCTCATTGAAGTACAGATTTGTCCAGTCCACTTGCCGATCCAACAGCAGCCAGCCAAAGCAGGTGTCCAGCAGGGCGAAGATGTAGTAGCTGGCCAGGAGCACGATCAACATGTTGCGACTGACCACCATTAGGTAGACCTTGGCCGTAGCTATCTCCTGAGCGCAGGGCACGATGATGAACCACTCGGAAATGTCGTAGGGATACGTAAAGGCGCCCTCGTCGGTGGACAGCTCATAGCCGCACAGTGTCATGGGCAAATCGAGTGTTCCATTCAGCGTCATGTTGCGCAACAGAATCATGGATATGCGTTCTACGGTCTTCAGCTGCTCCTCCCACTGCAACGATATGTTGTGGACGCGTGCGAACTCCATCAACATCATGGTCATGGTGCCAGTCAGACGTGTCTTGCCCGTCCTCCAGTCCGTGTAGGACAGCGCGGACGGCACTTGTTCCTCCGGCAGAGTGCGAGCCATGCGCTGATGGTAGTTGTATTGCCTGGCGAAGATCGGGCTGCTGTTCGATTGCAGCAGCAGCCAATCCGTGTCTTCATACGGCTGCAGCTGATAGGCTTTGCCCGACTCCAGCAGCAGCAGCACCACATGTGGAAACAGTTGCTGGCGAGCCGTGTTGGCTATATCGTGGAACTGTCGATCCGTTGCCCGCTGCAGCAGCAGCAGCAGTCGAATATGCCTCATGTTGCTCAAGTTGCTGGCCAGCGCCTGCCACATTTCCTCATCCAGCTGCCCACTACCAGTCAGGCAGATCAGTGCAAGCATCTCTGTGTTTTGGCTCTGCTGCAAATAGAAGTTGGCATCGCTGTTGAGCCGCAGCAAGGGCCACGTGGCAGCAGCTGCCACTTCCTCCATTTGGCTGCACTGCAGCTGGCGCCTGTGCCGCAGCAGCAGGAGCGTCTCGAAGCGCTTCTCTCCATAGCTGCGTTGCAGTACCTCATTTGGTGTGTAGGCCAGATTCGGCGTACAGCCGAGCAGTAGCCACAGGACTCCAGTTACAACCTCTGCTTGCCACATGTTGCGGCTGTCTGTTTCCACTTGGCTGCAGCTCTGCCTAAAATGTGGTCTATCTCTGGCATCGCGGCTAATTAGCTGTTAGCGGTCGATAGCAACGTCTATATGGAGTTGAGCAAATTCACAGTGCCTGCCATTAATGAATGTGGCGCCTTTATGCTCCCATTGAGCCATTGAGCCATTGACAGACATTTAATATTATAATTGAAACGATAAATACTAAAAGCTTGTAAGCAGACTAAAATAATTAGCTTTTATTGCCAAGTTCATGGCGGTTGGGGCTGGTGACAAAAAACATTCGTGTGATTTGTAATTTTGTCAGAGGAATGCTGAAGTGGTGGTGAATATTAGACAGGTCAAGGATTTCAAATTAAAAACCAAATGAAACGGTATTTAGTGATAAATGGCAAGTTTAATTCGTATAATAAAGGCCAGTGGTAATAGTTTTTTTTATAGGGTATCTGAGTGCTAACATAATATATAATAATAAGTGCGAGTTGATATGCATGTGTCAAAGAATTTGTTGATTCATTTTTCTAAAATTTCTATATCGGCCAAACAATTGTCTGGCGCTGACATCTTTCGAATTCTCTCTACAAATCTATTTGCAGATTTAATTTATTGTGCTTTTGCTCCATTTCGAGCCATTTCTCAACAAAGAGCGCAATATTAACTGATAAGATAACAAAGAACAAGATCGACTTCAATCTTTGTGGCTGCCAGCGTCACCACGCAAGCTTAAACTCTCAAGTATAATCTAAGTAGAGCAGATCAAACCCTTTAACTTATGCCAAGACACATACGTTGGCTCCACTCAGCTTCTAGTCGCCACTCTATCACTCAAGTAGAATCTTTCTCTGTTTCTCTTCAACTAAATTTTGTATATAAACTGCGAAGCTCATGGACCTTTGGTTGCTTAGAATAGAAAAGCATAATAAAATTGTGTTTCATATGTGTACACTGCTCTCTATTTAGTTTTCTTATGTCTCCAGCTTAATTATGATTAGAATCGAGTCAGAGTCTGATGATACAGAGCCTGTTCGATTTACTAAGTATTTTAAATGGCTGCTGAGGCAGCACTATCAAAGATATTATTTTTAACAAACATTTCTGCATTAAAAACAAAATCTTGAAATAATTTTATTAATAGTCCGAAATATAACAGCTCACTTCTTTATTTTTAAATTGCTTGAGCAAAGGATTTTTATTATAAATTCAACACAAATATTTGATAATTTAATGTCAATGAATATATGAAATGTTTGGCAATCCCAAGAGAACGTCTAAAATCTATTTTAAATTTGCAAATCTTCAAATCCACTTCACTTGACTTTGCCGACTCCATCAGCTTAAAGCGGCTTAAGCACTTGAAAGTATTATTTTTTTTTTTTTTTTTTTTGCTTCAAATAAATTCACAGTTTAATTTGCAAGCAATTGGCTTTGGGCCATAACTCGACTCACATTTAAGAACTTTCTGAATATTTTAAGCTGTTAATCTGTATTACATATTTAATTGCTCTCCGCTCTCTCATGGCATGTCAAAGTTTGTGCTTCCTTTCATGGGAAACTCAACGTAAAGTAAAACTTTTCAACAACTTTATGGTCCATGCGACGACTTGTGAAATTCTGAGCATTTGCATTTGGGTTTTTCTTCTCGCGTTTTTGGCTTTTACAGCTCTTTCAATTAGACAAGCGAATGCCAAAGATAGCAGCACATGTGCATATGCCGCACTCTTCTTCAGTTCACATTCACATTCGCATTCGCATTCGCATTCATATTCGTTTTCGTACTTATGTTCATTCCATTTCATACTTTAATACCATTTGAAGAGACTCACGCATTAATTTACACGTCAGTGCATATTTGATTTTATTTTACTTCCATTCACAGTTGTCATGGGAAATGCACGTCTACCAGTTTCTCGGAATATGTTGAATATATCCTCTGATCGGGGCAGTGTGAGGCATGCACAGCCAGGAAGCGTAAACGCAACAGTTGATAAAGTTTACAAAGTGGAGAGGAAGCGAAGAAGCTAGCAACTGTATTGTTCTGGCTGAACTAATATGAGTAGCTCGACTAGAAAATACCCTGCATGCATATATTCAAATAGCAGCTGTATTGTTCTGGCTGAGCTAGAGTCCACTAGCTCGACTAGCAAATGCCCTGCATACATTCACGCAAACATTGAGTATACCAGTTAGCGCAAGCAGGGTATTTCCGAGTCGGGCTGTGTCCTTTTTTGACGCTTGTCTATTTGTTGTATTTGCATTTACATAGGACTCTCCGCCGCTGGCGCCGAATGCTGCGCACCGCGTTGACATGCATAAGATTGCAAAGAATTGTTGCGAGCATAATTTATGCCAAGGCACGGCAGCAGGAAGCGGCAACAACAAGGACTACAGCTGGCTACGGCTGGCTACGGCTGGCTGCCTGCCTATGTGTGTCTCGGCTGCTGTGCAGTCTGGCGTATACGTAATGTAACATTAATTGTATTTATTTGCTTTGTTGATTGATTTTACCAGAGCCTTCGCAGTCTGACAAAACCTGAAAGCCCAAGAGCCGACATTTTAATTTTATCCGAGCTCTTAAGGCTGCCTCCCTTCTCCCTGCTCCCTGTCATTTGCTAGACAATTGCGTTTATCAAAGTCATTTTGTGTATCATTTGCGCATAGCCCACGGGCCGCTCCCTCGCCCATGCTCGCGGCACACGCCCACGCCCACATAAATTAACGTAAGCTTAACGAAGCATGGATAAAATATCAGCAGCAACAGCAACAACAACAACAGCAGCAGAAGCGGAGGTTGACAATAAATTTATTGGTTTTTATCCACAGCTGCTTGGCCTGTGTGATGGGGCTTATCAAAAAGGGCTCGGAATTGGAGCTCATCTGCGCTTTAATGCGGCACATGTGCTGTAAATATGAATGCTAAATGCGTCCCATATATCTGGGGCTATATGAGAGCAAAGCGATTATACTCCCTGACTAAATGACTGACTGAATGGGCTGACTGGGCTGACTGAGCTGGCTGACTTCTGATCAAAGTACGATGCCATTCTCATAAATTCAATTAAATTTAACTGTCTAGAGTGATAAGTAATGAAAGAGGAGGAGGTCTTGAAAGTAGAGTATAAATAGGATTAGAAGTGAAAATAGGACTAGAAGTAGGCGGAATCCGGCAGACACAGTCGCTGTAGGTGGTAGAGTAAAGGAGTCGAGGAAATTGGAGGACGAGAAGAGCATGGGGTGGAAGAAGAAGCATAAGATAAGGAATGGGAGTAAATGATGATATGAATTTCGTATGTAACATTAGGAAGAATGGAAGTTTAAATAGAGGAAGATGTAGTAATAGAAAGAGAAGAATGTCATGTTGAAGATCTAGCAGTCAGCAATATGGAAGATGGTTTGAGTAGAATTGAGACTTGAGTAGACGTGAAAGTGGAACACTAAATAGAGACAGAGGTATACCAGTAAACGAATGAGAATAAATAATAAACGAAGATGAACGAAAGACATTGAGTATAAGAGTTTTACTTTACTACTTAAACTGTAAGAGTCTTTATTCTATATGAGTAGAGACTAGATAAGCGCTATTATTAGTATTTGCAGAAGTATTCATGGAACAATATGTATATTGGGAGTAGGAAGAAGAGTCGTAACGATTGTCATCAGATTTGTATAGCTAATATGTAACATAAATTTAATATTTAAGTATCCCATTAATTGATTTAAATTCACACACCTTAAATACAACATTATGTTCCATGCTCTTAGGCGCTGTTCTGTAAGCCAAGTTGTTAATTGATTTGACTAAGGCTTTAAAGCTATAACAGCCGATTTGAAGCTTAACGCCTGCCATCTGACACGCATCCACCGACATTCCATTCACATACGCACACACACACACACATGTGTAGCCACCAACCACCCACACATCGACAAACTCACACATCCACACGTTAGCAGGACAATCGGGAAAGTTTGCCTGAGGTAAGCAAGAAAAAAAAGTTTGCCAGCCACTTGGCAAGTGACTACATCGATGGGCTGTTGGCGCCGTTAAGTAAGGATGCTAGAGGAGTCTTTCAGCTGCCGCCTTTCCTTTTTGACAATGTGCTTAAGCTAAAAAATGACAAAGCACGAAAGTTTTCTTAGGGGCACGCACTCTCGTTAGAGAACCATGATTGAACGCATTTCGGGGCACGCATATCCTGTTGAGATTTTAAAGCTCGATTCGCATGCGGCGTATAATAAACACGAGACGATTTTCTAGCAGACGGAAGAAGAACTTTTCATTTAAGCTGTTAAACCGTTTGGCGAGCCGAGCCGAGCCGGGTGTTTGCCCCGTTTTTAATTAAAAAAGTGACCGGCCGGAAAAAGTTGGTAACAGGATTTTGGCGCATTGGCCAGACGACGCGACTGCCAGGCGAAGTTTTTCACTTAGCTCTTTCATTTGGCCGAGAGAAGTTGAAAGCGTGCTTCGCCGTCAATGGCAGCAGCTGAAATTTAAGTGCAACAAATATTTGTGCATTGAGTTCGATTAGAATTTCTGGCACTTGACGGGCTCATCGATGCAGCCACAGCATAGTCGGAAATATATATGTATATCATCGTTCAGCATTGAATGTCAATCGAAACTCATCTCATATTTTTGTTTTTGCCCGCTTCTATTTTTGCTGTCTGCTCTTGTTGACATTCATCTGATGATGCCCGCAAAGCTTTGGCATATTTCTCATGAATACTATTTGCACCCATCCAAACACACACAAGAACACACGTGCCACACCTTCACACACACACAGTCAGATATACGTTGAGTTATGCGTGAGTATTCGTGAATATTTGTTGCGATTGAGCTGTCGTTGCTTAAGTAAAAAAAAAAGATGCTGTGACAGCCTAGAACTCATTACATATTTTGCTATTTGGCCTATTTCTGGAATTTCAAAAGGGATAGAGCTATGTGCCCAATGCTAGGCATGCAGAGTTCCAGTTGGGACAGCTTTGAT